AGGGGTCCTGGTGCAGTGTTCTACAGTGCTTGTGTGTGTGTAAAAGAGAGGGTCTGTACTAAGGGTTTCTTGCTGGGTGGGTGGATGATGGTGAAGTTCTGAGATCTTGTACGACTTGTTGGCTGGGAAACTCATGCTGGAATTGCTTACTTAAGTGCAACTTAAGAAGTGTCTTAAGTGGGGACTTGCAATATCATGCAGCAATGTTTTCCTAGTGACTAGAAGCAGTGTTACTGGAATGGCTTGAGCCAATGTGGAATGGGCTTTGTAGCATTGTTGGGGTTCTGTGTGTGTTGTGAGTACTGGGGACAGAGTTTAGATGTGGAAAAAAGGACATAGACACAAACACAACATAGCTTTTGCCACCCTTCCCTGCTGTGCAATGCTAAAGGGACAGAAACTTTCTTGCTATGAAGTGACAAGAGAGGGTTTTGGGAAGCAGGAATGGAAAAAGTGTACAGAAAAGCATTAAAAAATTAATGATGTCCTCCTTACCCTAATCTTGGAAAGGATAGAGGTTAGATCCCAGAGTGGACCAATTATTTATCTCAGGGGTATGAAACTTCTTTCAGCCATTGTACCAGTTTTGGTTTGTAAGGTGCTTGGCAGGAGGCACACCCCACTAGTGGTCTAGACCCAAAGCAAAAAGGTCAGGCACCAAAAATGCTAAGGTAGTTGAACTTTTACAGCAAGATATGAAGCCTTAGAGGCATATCAGTCCTTTAGAACAGGAAAACATGACTGGGAAATCCATAGCTGGTTGACAGTCAGGAGAAAGTTGATGTGACATCTAAGCAGGTAGAAGGGTAGATTTGCCTCATTCTCTCTCCAAAAATCTGATGGGTCATGATTGCCCTTTGGGACCTTTTCTGAATGCAACTATTCCTGCACGCCTCAGAGTCTGCTCGTTTTGGGAAGCCACTTCTTTTTCAGCGGCTGTCCTATTCACTACTAAATGGACAAGATGATCAAGTTCTGTACAAAAACCAAAGCCACTCAGCACTAGCTTCCTTGCTGTGCAGGCGTATTTGATGCCCTCATGGAAATGTCATTCCTATGTGTGTGGCAGCTCACTTTGAAAGAAGTGGAAAAAAGGCTTTCATGGGTGGTTAAAGTTTGATTAAACCACAAAGACCTCAGAAGGAATAGATTTTCAGAAGGACATGAAGGATAATTGCCCTGCAAATTGAACATGCCAGTAGCAAGACATTTGGCCACAGAGAAATAAGTTTAAGAGACATAACACACCCGAACCATGGATAAGGAAGAGGCACATGGGCTTGTGTACTTTGAATTCCCTTTGCATAAAAATGTTACTTCTTGATCATTTCCACTGGTCATAAGTAGGGTTATGGTTTTTGACCTGAACCATGCTTATTTGTGCTAACTGTGGTTTGCTATTAATGAAGATGCATCTGTTTTGAAACTAGTCTTATATTCTTTGTTAATTAAGAAGAATATAAGTTTATTCACCACCATATAGGTTGTTTTTGAGATAAATTCTGGCTATGATTTAAGGTAGAAGTGGAATTAAGGTGGGTCTCCAGATTTTTGGACTTCACCTCCCAGAAGATCCTCCGAGAATGACCAGTGGTCAAGAACGCAGGGAGACGAAGCCCAAAATATCTGGAAATACCTTCCTACTCCTGATTTAGGCTGCCAGAGAGAATTTGTGTAAAGAGAAACACCATTTCATGGTTTGCTCTCCGTCCTTCAGTTATGGTTAAAGGTACAGCATCATTATCTGCATATGTGCATAGTCTGTTTAATTCAAAGTAACATTCTTATATTAATAATTTGATTTGTATGGCACTATTCCTATCAGTTTGCATTCTCGGCACTTTTCATAAAAATATAAAATCTAACCATATTTTAAACTACTTAGAAGTATTTCTTAAAAAGAGAAGCAATGGAAAATGGAAAATGTATACGAAAAGGAACAAATAGTAGATCTTCTAGAACCTGGTGCTGGCTATCACTGCGTATGTGTATGCTTATTAAAAGAGGATGCAGTATGAATTCCAATTCCCAACATTATCTTCTGTAGCACATAGGATTCCCTTTCCGAAGTCATATTAGCATACCAAATGAGCTTCAATAATTGCAGACTAGCTCATCCAAACTTTTGATTAGGGTGACCACTAGTGCATTGCCAAAATAGAGGATACGCATGAGAAGACAATAGTGAATAACAATTAACATACAATTTACACATCAGTGTAATTAAATCAACAATTAGAACTCAAAGTTCGCAAAAGTCAAACCGGTTCACTGAAATCATCATCCAGATTTTTAAATTAATTTGAACTTCTGCTCCACAAACCCCCTTTCTCCTACCACATATACCATCTAGCCATTACTACACTTCTCCGTCCTTCCACTCCTGTTCTTATCTTTTACTTGTGTCTGCCTGCATGAGTATCAAAGCTGATGGAGAGTTCCAAGAATTGGGGAACACTACCATCTCCTTTGCTTCTGCAAATTAGGAAATGGTAACCACAGGACCATTTCTTTTCCATGCAAAATATCTTCCTTTCTTTAACACTTCCTACCTTCCATGTTCTCCATCTGCATTTATTATATATTTATCTGAAGTATTTTTATCCCAATTTTCAACCAAAAAAGTCTTCTAGAATGGCTTATACTCATCACAAGAAAGAAAGGAGTGGGGGGGGGAGGGGAGAGAGAGACCTCCATTTTTCCTGCATACAATGAACCAGCTCAGCCCCAAGCAACTTTCATTGCTTATTAATCAGACAGATTCTCTCACTGTCTCTCATTCTATCTGGAGAGCAACAATAACCCTACAATGGAGCTGTTGGTCACCACCTTGTTTATGTAGAAAGAGGTATCTGATGTGTTTCCTGCAGCCTTTCAATTATTGAGTTAGGATAGAAGCCAGCCTATTTGCAAATATGGAAGTTACGACATTAAAACTATTCCTGGCTGTGTTGACCGTTATGAGAACTAAGCCTTTTTGTGTGTTTTCTAGGGATCCCTGCACATCAGGGCTTATAAAACATCTGCAGCCACAATCCTGTAAATATTATATCCAATAGGGTCCTTTCAGCACAATAGGTTTTAAAGCAATGCAATATATCATTGCAGTACGAACAAGCACAGGTTGTTAACAGATATGGTATGTTTAACTGGATTAAAATGAACCAAGGGAGAGGATTTTAATTGTGTGGTTGACTTTTCAGAATTGGACCAGTGACATAAAAAAAATCTGAACAGATATAACTATTGTAAGTAGCCTGTGTTCATGGGCATCCATAACACATTCCTTCAGAAGTCTGCAATACGCAAGGCAACGTTTATACCTGCTGAATTTTGGTGAATCAGGTTCAGTGGTCCTGCCATTGCAAAGAGAAGTCTTGGCTTCCTTAAGATTAATTTAAACTGTGACATATTTTAAACCCACAAAATAGCATCTTTCAATAGGAAGAGGAACAGCCTGTCTGAATGATATTTAATTCGTGGTAATATTCCAGCAAGCATACATATGACAAAAGCAGGAGAGCTTAATCTGATATAGCAAAAAGAGGCCAGAAACTGTAAGATAATGCTCCTTGTTGCTGCTAATCTGCTCTTGCAATCATTCCTGTCTTCTGTCAGTCGTCTACATGAAGAAGAAAGGAATGAGAGATTGAAAGCAGTGAATGGAATATTATTTAGCAGTACTACTGCCTAGCTTTTGATAAAGGAAATAATAAATTCTTGACTGGTGCTAAGAATGTTAACGTACTTTTGTTAACAGTATGTTATTTATGGCATCTTCCTAAATTTTTATTTCTTCTGTTCCTGCCATTTCATAGGCATTTGCACAAATCTTATGTTTCACATTTACTTATACACATGTTTTAATATGTTTAAGTTTAATTTATAGGTAGTAGCTACCAGCCATAAGAATATTACATTTTCAGCTGTGATTATTTAATGGCTAAAGATGTGATGCGCTTCTAAGGATATGATCTGGGAAGGGGCGTATGTGTATTTGTAAATATTTATAGGAGTAAAACAAACCTTAAGGTACAACCCAGTCCTTGAGATCCACTGCTGCTTAGATTCTTGGGAAGTCAGAAGTTCGGCTTTGCTGGTAATTACTTATCCACAGTATCTACTGCTGGAACCCTCCCTGCAGTTTTGGTTGAAGGTTGCACCAGCCAGATGCTGTGACACAGGAGCAAGAATGGAACATAGCACGGATACTTATGGGAACACAGATTTGGATGAACCATACTTGCCTTATTACACACACATTCCTAGGGACATGGCAGAGATCTGCTCCAGGACAGTACCTGGCCTAAGTAATTCCCTTCTCATGGACTCATTGCAAACCAATAGGACAACATGGGGAAGTTCCCAAGTCTTCTTCTGGTAGCTCCATTGTTTTGGATACTATAGCGATATTGTAGGATTGCTTGGCTAATCTATTTCCAATTAAGGTCATCTTCTGAACACTTCAAGTTGAGTGAGACATGATGATGAGCATGCATGAGGAGTATCCACAGGCACTGCGATGTCATAAGACTGTATACACTATTTCAAAAATTTTAGAACTGTATTTTCAGCAGTTTAGAAGTTGAAAGGGGGAAAAGATGGGTGTACTTTCATGTGTTCACTTATATTGTTCCTCCTGTGATGTACATGTACAGGAATACCAGTGTGAACTCCTGATTCTGTGTATCCTTAACTGCCCCCCACAACAATTACAGTAATTGTGATGGGCAGTTCTCAGTGGTCTAAGCATAGGAAAGTACATAAATGGTATTGACTAGGTCACAGTATAAATGTCTCCTTAGTTTAGCTTCTCTTAATTGGGAATGTGGGAGATGTGGGAAAAACAAGTATTTAGATTCATGTGGGTAATGTTTTAACTTGCCTGTGCCAACTTTCATTTTCATTTCATTTTCAGTTCAAAAGGAATTGCTGTACTTTTTAAAAGAAATATATATCCAATAATTTAACTCATTTTTTTCTTCTCTCCTCTCCTTTAGAATAATAGTTCCTTGGTCTGGTGCCAGAATCACAAACAATGTTCAAAGGTATGGTAAATTTTCACTTTAAAAAGATATACAAATGTATAAGTCACTGTACGCTATTGTACATTCATCCATTTCTGTATGGGTTTCTTTTCTATTCTATGGAGTACAATATTTTCCCCTACTATGCAATTTGTAGCAAAACAAAATCCTACCATCTTTTTCATGTGTGAATTGTTGACAGCTACATACAGAACCACTTGCTGAGTATTAATACGTGATTTGTAATAGTCATTAACACTATATGCCTAAAAAGGTTTAAAGGTCTATTGACTTCAGTGGCACATAGTGCTCATCTGTTTGAAATCAGTAGGGCTCAGAAGTGGTCAGTGAGGTATAGACTGTGCCAATTAATTTTACATCAGCTGAAAATGTGACTAATAATACTTATTCTGCTTATACCACAACTGTTCTTTTTCAACAGAAGAGAGTAGGAGATCATCATGTAAAAAAAAAAGAAAGCAAAGAAATTAAGTTCCTGAACATTCCAAGGTCTCCTTGGGCCCCAAATATTTTATTCTGTTTGATAATTTAATTTCTTTAAGACATAATTACTTTGGAGATTTCTACTGGCCCTACTGTTGCCTTTTTATGTGAGCACGTTGGCCCTTTGACCCCCCAAAGATTTGAACATAAATGAGCTAATAACCTTTTGTTTCCACTGGAAGAACATATTACCAAGTAGCTTGGAAAGAGTGTGAAAGTGGACCTGAGGGATACTTGTCATTTGCACACTATACTGAGTGTATCTATTCCTGAGTGTACTTAGAATTTCATCCACAAATCTGTTATCACACCAGTTTGTGTATTAAGAACAGTGGGGAAAAAAATCTTAGCCCAAATTGCCATGATTTTATTATGGTTCAAGGACATAATAGCACAGAATGAAGAATTCTGACTTTCTGAGGTGATCTTTAAGAAATGATTACTAACATAGGATTGTGCCTTTAGTTAACTAGGGGTTGTGATTGATTACTGCACTATTCTTATTCTTTGCTTCTAATTTACGGCCATGTGTCTGTGTGGAAACCTGGATGCCAGTGTTTGATAAGTGTTAGCCCTTGGCTCACATCTGCTCCATGACCATTGCTGAGGAGACTCCAAGTGGCATTCTGTTATTGCTGGTTCCTCCAGGGTCTTTCTGCCATAAGCAAGAGCTGTATCATTAATCACTGCTGGGATGAAGAATATTTTTGATGGTGAGAGATTCAATCACTCAAAATGACTGACTGCTCACATTTTGAAATTAGATGTACCCAAGCACCTGAATATATGCACTGGAGAAAGTCAGCTTGCATTGAAATAATATACTGGGATTTATCTTACCAAATTATTTTGGGGAAGAATGGGCAGCAAAGTTCACATTAAGAGTAACCACAGGATGTTGCCAGAATAAGTTGCTCTGTGGGGAATGATTTCTGCCAAAATCGAATAGAGCCATATGTTGCTCAGAACTCTTCCATCATGTGAATATGGAACATACAGACTCTTCATGATGGCATGAAGATTTACACGATGGCAGTTTTAAATGCAGCAAATATGGTACAGAAAAATTGCTTGCCACAAGAAAGCCCAGTTTTAGTGCAATTTGTTGTTCCAGTAGGAATGTTGGCCCCCAGCTATGAGTGTAGGCACTGGAGAAGGAAAGAAATGGTCATCTGACTCTATTCATTATATTTGACTTTAACATGAATGTTGGTTCCATTATTTTTATTCAGTTATGAGTATCTCCAAGTAGGAAAAGGCCTATGTGCTAGATGGCTTCCTTGATCGATGATGCCTTGTCTGTCTGTCTGCCTGTCTATGATGCTTTCAGAATGGCACAAACAGACCTAGGCACGGGCCACTTAGCACCATTTTAACTTCAGGTTAGTGGGAGAGAGCTCCTGAAACCTTTTGTGAGGGCAGTTTGAGACGTTAAGGAAGAAAAGAAAAAGAATATGTCTATTTCTTGGCCAGCCTGAAGTACTAATTTTCATTGTCAGTTTTGTATCTCTACATGTAGAAAAAATGTCCTAGTATCAGACAGAATTCACAGAGTTATGGATTCTGTGGTTAGCACTAATCAACATTTTTCTCCATTGTCAAGGCATCAACTTTCTCATGTTACTTAATAATGCTTTCACATGCTATTTTACAAATGTTTCTGACAATGCAGATTTGTTAGGGTTGTTTTGGTAGTTTTCATTATTGTTATTCAAGAAGGGAAAAATGTAGCTTCCATATAGCCTGAAGTGCCTGATCCTGCCTAATCTTGGAAGCTAAGCAAAGGCCTGGTTAGAATCTGAATAGAAGACTTGAGTCCTGCATTGAGCAGTGGGTTGGGCCCAATGGCGTTCTAGGACCCTTCCAACTCTATGATTCTAGGATTCTAGATGTAAAAGGGAAGGATATCATAAGTTTTATTTTACTTCAATATAGAAAGAGAGCCAAGGTGTTTCATATACCACAGCCTAGGTATACTAAACAGCTTTTTGGTACAAGTGTTAAGGTGAAGACAAGGTAACTGAACTGCCTTCTGTATTACAGGACATACAGGTATGGCTCCCATGCAAATAAATAAACATAGAATTAAAATTTATATATGTAGCAGGAACTTTCTGGCCAGAACTAAAGAAGTCTAGGGAAATAACATAGAAAGGTAAGTAGAGTTGTAGGGATTGTGTTAACTCTGTTCCACCTGTGATTTATGAACTGTTATCTGTGTTTTGTTTCTTCATTCCAGTTTTCACCAGAATTTCATTCACACTTTTCAGCCACTGGGCACATGGAAAGTTGAACATCACTTTATGGATTAAAAGATTCTATCACTGCTTACCATGTAGTTGCTAATTCCTGAAATAACTTGGTTAGGGACTGGAGGGGGGGAATATAAATATATATTCGTGGGAGGAGGAGAATGACCCTAGCAAAAAGCCAAACCAAATCAACAGAAAACCTGTGTGCTCAGCTTCACAACTTGGTGTCCTCCAAATCTTTTAGGCTGTAACTTCATTCATTGGTCTTCAGTGTTAATGATGATGGCTGCCTGTCTTACTTGTTACTCTGATAAGGTAATTAGTAATACCTAGAAAATGTTATCTGTCAGAGCTAACATGCATGCCAGAACTGTCCTATAACTGCCAATTTACTATTTCAGGTATTTGGATTGTCTCATTAAAAGCAAAGGGCAAAAAACAAACTTTTGCTATTGGCTAACTTGTGGAATACAAGGTGCTATTGATGTTCTGAGGGATATCTATACCTTGCCAGATGAGACATTATCTAAATAAAAAAGCTAATTAAACCCATACTTTGTTTCATTTATCCCTAAATCTTTTGATTTCCCCCTTCATGAATCTAGCCATTCATTCCTCACCTTGTACCACAACTGATTTAATCTTCTTGTCATCACCTTCAAAGATCTGCATAACTATCATCTTTTGTTAATTATCTGTTGCTTGACAAATGTCAGACTGTCCCCATTCTATCCACTCCACTAATATTTCTAGGTGTATATTCCCACTTGCCAGTTTCTAATAAGACATCTTTCTGCCACAAGATTGTCTCCAGGCTTCTGCACACAACCTATCCATCTGTCAGCAAGGACCTCAGAAATAATTTCTTTCTCAACATCTGTGGTGCAATAAACTGATTATATATAAATTGCATAAAATTCCATGCTGTTTCTTTGCTTCGCTTTTTTTTTTTTTTGTTAACAATATAGAGTGAAGAATCTTACACTGTTTGTACTTTTGACAAGTCATTAAGGGCTAGTTCACCATAGGCCAATTTATTATGTATCAGCAAGGATTGTTCACTCACTTAAGCACCATCATTTATGAGGTGGCAGTTTAAAACTGCAACTGCAGGACCTCTATCTGATTCTGAGAATGGTGAGCTACCAGTTCCATATATTACATCAGTTGTGAAAGCGACAAGCTGCTCTGGGAAGGCCACCTGAATGTGTGACCTGGACCCTTGTAGTGAAAGAATGCGAGAAACTATGGCAGTGATACTAGGAAGTACTCCAAATTAATATCACATATTTGTGGGAGAAGCATAGTGCAGGAAAGAAAAGACTATTTTGAAGTGTGATTTTAAACAATCTGATAATTTTGCAGCCTCTAATTCTAGGATCACAATTAGAACACAATTGAATTTTGAATGACCAGAAGGTATAATTTAGGAATGTTACTGCTACATTGGCTGGAAATAAGTGGAGTTCATCATGCACCATGAATCTCAATTCAGTTGCTTCTTTTTTTTCTCTGGTGCCAACAATGCATTGACAGTAGTTGTTGATTGATTGACCCAATGGTGAGGCCAAAAGGGCATTTGGAGGAGCCAGAGTAGAATGGATCTTGTGAAAGAAAAGATAAGTAAGGATACAAATGTAGCAGCCGAACAAACATTCATCGTGGAAAACAAGTTCAATTTCTTAGTAGAATAGCTCACACTCCAAAATTCTCTGTGTGTGCTATTCCTTTCAGGGCTTCCAGCTGAGTTCTTTCCAGAGAGAATGCAGGTGGAAAGATGAGTTAATGATCTAAACAATTAGAGATTTGCTGCACCCTTCCATCTGTCAAAGTTCACTGAAATAAAAGTGCACAGTTTTCATTTGTGCCTCCAGCATCAAGCTCAGTCTGAAATCATGTTATGATTTGCTCTGCCCCATGGTAGTGTCATTCTTATGGTAAGTGTTCCATGTTTCATGCTGAGAAACATCTATTACACATGGTAGTCTGCACTTGAGGGGATTGTTAGCCTAAAAGTGGTGGGTACATTTCATTTTAAAAATACAAGGAAATATTAGGATCTACCATCTCTTTGCACTATATAAAGCTGTATAACACTTGTATTTTAAAAAAATGATGTGGCTCATCGAAAGACTTCCCCACCCCCAAATCTATGTGAAAACATTGCTAATTTGTGTGTGTATGTTTTATATATATATATATATATATATATATATATATATATATATATATATATATATGAATTTATATGACATGGGTAGTAAT